CAGCTATTCATGCTGACCTGCTATATTAATGAATCCGTACCAGTCTAGTTCAGACTTCTACACTGAACAAGTGTCGTCCGGAGTAAACAGTGTAGTTGTCCGTGCCTTACTAGATCTTGTTATTTGTCTTGTTTGGTAACTTGTATTGTCGTCCTGGCACTCTCTTTTCGACGAGTTTCTCGGCAAGTCGCACGTAGAATAGACCTCGAAGACATACAATGACTCTCCCTACTGCCTCGTTTTTCCCTACGAAGTCAGGCTGAAATAAACTTAACATAAATAACTTACGTAGGAGACTAACCAGCAGAGGAACAGAGAACAGAGGAACAGAAAGGAAGTCCTCCTTGGTCCAAGTTGAAACTCGTGGGTCAAGTGGGAATTTCGGACAGCTTGGCGTCAGCAACGACGTGCCGAGTGACGACTCCTCCGACGTGGTTAGTCTTGCTTCGGCACAACCTCGAGCGAAGCCTGCCCGGTAGCGTACGGCAGAGGCTGTACTTGGACTGCCTAAGTTGGCTGCACGGCGCTAGGGCGCAGGTAAACTCTTGCTGGTGTCTCCTCGGCACATGGTAAATGGTGCCTCTTTTCTGGAGCCGACTTCCTCTTTGCAATGCCGGGTCCATCTGCTTGTTGTTGTTGGTTGTTGTTTGTTGTTGTTGTTGTTGTTGACCTGATCGGGATTGTTGTTGTTGACACGTTGAAAGAATTTGTCAGAATAGCACTAGATAAATAGAATAATTAGCATAGGTAGATCAGATAGTAGCATAGGTAGCATAGGTAGATAGGTAGGTAGATAGGTGCAGATAGTATAGCGTAGATAGGTAGATACGGTCACACCGTCACACACAAGACCATCCGGGGAACATAGATAGATCACCAGCGGGCCGCCACATATAAGCGTTAGGAGCTCACATCAGGATCGTACCTTCAAGCCAATGGACGATGTAGTACGTCAACATCAAATACAGACTCGTGAGATAGGTAAGAACACACATTCAGTACGTGAGCTTCTCAGGCTACCGTAGATAGGCAATGTTCAGTAGAGCTACGTAGGTGCCGCCTGCAACTTAGTGTTGAGCGTCGGTAGAACTGGTACCTTAGAGTAGTCACAGATAAAGCTAACTCTGTTACCCATTCCGGCCGCCTATCAGACCCTACAACCTCGAGTACGACCTTCTCCGTCAATAGTAGGGTGTCCGGCTGGACATAGCACATAGGATGAAAAGCATCACATCTACCGACTTATTATAGCTGATAGCATAGATAGCTCCCTCGGATACAGAGAGTCCATAACAGGTAGGTGGATAGTGTGGTGATATCGCGAGAATGTGAACCGGTCTATTCCACGTCTACGCTCATCGGTAGTTACGTACTCAGCACCCATCAGTCATTCCCAGCTCCTACTCCAAGAAACTCATTAGACTCGCGTCACCAATAAGGCCAATACAGGGCTGAGGTTCGGATCTGTATATCTCGTATTGAGGCCAAAAAACGACATCGGGCACGTTCTATATATCCTCTACTTCTCAAGCTGGTGACCTGAGTACAGGTCGAGAGACGCTCTCAAACAGGACGCTACCGTCAACCACGCACCTCCTTCACCTTCCAAACCCCCTTAACTCCCGAGTCACACAAACCAAAACGACCTTTTACATCTGGACCCCAGTCTGGAGCACGTAAACCTGCGGCCACTACAAAGCCATAAAAATTAACAGTGGTGAACAAAGATTCGTCAACAAATTCTCTCGTTCTTTACCCTACTGAGTATTAACCACCTGTACTGCCCTCAAGTCGCTATATACGGAGGGTACTCCCTTCTGCAGACTCAATTCATATATTTGTATCTTAATCCCCAGTCAACGCTATTACGTGAGAGAGCGGGTTTTTGACATAGAATGGATTGTGTAGAATTTCTAATGAGGAAGTTGGGATGACACTACAAAGAACTCTTCTTGTTGTGTACACTCTGTCACGCTCGTCGATAAGAATTATCGTTAGAGTCACCCGCCGGTACCACGACACTCACTTGGCCGAGTATAAACTAAAAGACAGAACGATACTCCATCCTTGTAACTTGAGTCGAACACTCTTCCACGCTTTTTATACTTCGATGGGCTAAATACATAATCGTTCAGGGGCGCTCTTACAAGTGACCAAGTGGTTGCTAGACAATGCAAACAATTCCTAACCTATCGTCACATCCACACATCGAGTCTTATAGGCAATTAAACGTGGTTTCATAGGCTAAAGAAAAACATACAGACTCAGTTTTAGAAAAAAACAAACGCACTTTGAGAATTAGACTTAGTAGAACTTATATAAGTAATAGTTATATCTATGTATTCACGGGATAGAAAAAAAGTATTCAGAGTAAGGTCGGTAGAGTAAGAAAAAATCCGATGAGAAAATTACCTCCCGCATCTTTCCCCGCCGATTTCATGACTGTGACGTTACTATCCAAGTCCCCTCACTATCATCAAACTACAAACTCTTACCGGACCTGGATAGTAATAATAACAATACAAACTCATCCAATCGCCAGAGATACAGAGAGTGAAGCTAGTAACGAAGAGGAGACGGTCCTATGACGACTGTGGTGCTGACAATCATGCGAGAAGCAAGATCAGCCCGGTGCCCATATTAAGGGTCGTTGAGAAGGACCTTGGACACAACATTAATTGGTATACACACACACATACACATTAAAACGCGCTGCGAGGGCGCTGAACCCTACATGTCTGTTATGAAGAGTTGACTCCCGACCACACAACATCAAGGAAGAACACAAAGGGACGCTCCCGGGTCGGGGCAGGGGACGATGTATCTGGTCCTCCATCTCGAGGCACCTAGAGATGCGTGTGCGCGTGTTCTGCGGTAACTTCTTCAAGACGCAGTACGCGTTATGAGTGTCCCGTTTAACGGCACGTTAAATATACTCGCAGTCAGACTCTTACCTATATTTGACTTTGGCCGAGTCAGAGCCAACTTCCTAATGTGACAATGAGCCCATCAACACTTGGTGGACATATATCATCTCTACAGTCACACACCCTCCTTTGTGACGACACTATGACGGTGCCTTGTGTGTGTGTGTGTGTGTGTGGTGTGTGTGTTTGTGTGTGGTGTGTGTGGTGTGTGTGTGCGTGTGGTGTGTGCTGTGTGGTGTGTGTGTCCGTCTCTGTCACCATAGTCACACGGTCGTCGACTCCAAATGTCGTTACCCTGGGCGGAGACGAGAAAGATTGCTGTACCAACTGACATTCTATTCGACCTATACTTTCTACGACGGCGACGAGACTCTCGTATTTTCCGTAGTCCTACACACACACACACAGCACACCCGAGACCACTACCCAACACACACACAGACACACGCAGACGACCGACAACACCACACACACAGACACAACACACAAGAGAAAACACGACACACACAACACAACACACCACACACACACACACAAACAACAATATACTCACTTTCGGTAGACGACGTAACACCTCAACTGCTCGACACAGACAAATGAGCGCGGAGGTTAACGATTGTCTGGAAGTAAAATAGGACGTCACGCGACGTTCTACAGTTTAATTACGCGGACTTTGTTTGTGCAAGACGAGACGTTGTTGTAATCGCGCGAGCAGTTACGATAATGCGCCATTAGAACAGTCACCGGTTAATTATTCCTTGACACAGAGAGACATACATATACGTTTGGTCGCATCGATCCTTAGTGCAGACAAACTAGAGTAGTCCCGATGTGTTCATTAAGTAGAGATACACATACAGGGTACCACTCATTTTCCATCTGGTGTGGACATGAGACCGATAGAGTCAATGGATGAAGATTGTTGCACGCAATAAAGACACGCGGACGACTATCTCTCTTCGTAATATTGGTAACTGGACACAAGATACTTTAGTCCTTCTGCTTGTCTGTTTTTTATTGTGTAGTGAAAGGGGTTCCATCTCTGTTGAGTGTTTTTTGCCTGGAACCACAATATCAGGCACATTAAACTAGACAACCACATAAGAGTCTTACTTGGGTTTACATACATATTGTATGCTGACACACAATTTTTTCTCTCAAAAGAACTACAGTTGTTTCTCCACGACTAGTTATGTAGGGCTTTGTAAGTGAGCAGTAGGTTTTTGAAGTTGATACGGGATTGAACAGGGAGCCAGTGGAGTTGGATGAGGATGGGAGTGATGTGTTCTGAGGCCTTGGTGCCGGTGATGATCTGGGCTGCAGAGTTCTGTATGATTTGTAGTTTATTGATGAGCTTGGTGGGTATGCCTGAGAGGATGGCGTTACAGTAGTCGATGCGGGACGTGAAAAATGCATTGACCAGGACTTCAGTGTTTGATTGAGAAAGGGATGGGCGGAGTCTGGAGATGTTACGTATGTGGAAGAAGGCAGTCCGGGTGATGTTATTTATGTGAGGTGAAAATGAGAGGGAGCTTTCGAGGATGACACCAAGGCTCTTAACTTGGCCAGAGAAAGGGATGGAGTAGCCATCAATGATGAGGTTTGAGGCAGGGGAGGATGGGGTTTTGGAGAGGATGGTTTTGGTGCCAACCAGCAGGGCTTCGGTTTTGCTGCCGTTGAGTTTTAGGAAGTTCCTGCTCATCCAGCTCCTGATGTCCTGGAGGCAGTTGGTGAGAGAGGTTGTGGGGAGGGCAGTGTTGGGTTTGCTGGAAATGTAGACCTGGGTATCATCGGCGTAACAGTGGAAATGGACATTATGATGACGGAGGATAGTGCCAAGGGGGAGTAGGTAGATAATAAACAGGAGTGGATATATATATATGGAATATGATATTGTGTTATATAAACTCTATATAAATAATTGGGTTGAACTAGAGTCAATAATTTGTGTTTCCATTTACAACAGCAAGCTTTAAAAGCAGTAGAGCAGCAGAGATAAGAGGGGATAAAGCCTGCTGTGCACCTAACTCTATAAACCAAAGCAAAAACAAAACAAAGTGAAGGCGTACTCACGCTGCCAAGCCCTCGTGTCTCATGATCTTTAATGCACAGTCCAATGTGCTTTTATATTTGTGTGCTTCCAGACCCTTTGGAAAGAAAAGAAAGGTATTGTTATTTCTAATCAATGACAACAGGTGGTAACAACTCAAAACAATTTCAACCAAAATGCCAGCAAAGAACACAAAAACCTGTGTTTAATCTCAGCCATCGAGTAATGTACCTGCATCCTTGTCTTGATGACATCTAGTGGTGTGTTTCCAAAGACACTGGCGGCTCCAGCTACAGCTCCAAACGTTCCCGTCACCAAGGGGTTCATGGCTTTATTGGGGTTGTCACCTGGTGAAAGGACATAACATGAGGAGTCAGTAACAGTGAATGCTTTGATGCAATTTCAGTCCTGGTACATCTCAGCTGAGTGCGTACTGTAGTTACTATCAGCAGCTCAGACGGCTGTGTCCCAATTCCATACACTATGCAGCATTAGAGTAACATTCATAGCATACTATTGCTGGGTCAGGACATTTTGAATGAAGTTCATTTTTGTAATCAAATTACATGGCAGTTACATAATCCATTGGAAAACATAGAAATCTAATCTAACATGAATATATTTGAAATGATTTGTTTTATTTTTTATAAATTGTAAAAAAAAGTATTTGTTATATTAACTTCAAAATCAATTATTAAAAATATTGCACATTTATACTTATATAAATCAAATAATCAAATGATCCTTATCCTAACAGTACTGGCAAAACAAGCTGCAACAAACTTTTATTGAAAGTAATAGCACCAGTTTTCATGAAACAAAGTCTCATATTTTATAAAATTGTAATAAAAAATGTTATTAAGTAATCCTTGTCAATATAACTTCAATACAGTTTTACGTGCTTACTTTTTCAAATCTGATTTCAAAATAAATGGTGATAATTTATAATCCATTATGACCAAACCCCAACTGTTCCCAGTCTGTATGCTTGCATTTCTTTGCAGGCAGACTTCTGCTTCTCAAAGGATCATGAAGTGTTTAGGCTAAACCATTACAGAGGAGCTACTTTAACAAATACCTCAACTCATTTACCAGCCCATCAGCAGTATTGGTCTTTTTAAATATCTCTCACACTTATAAACAGATAAACACATACAGAAAATATTGATGCACACTGACCTTTGTACCAGTTCTTGAGAGAGGTCATCACATAGAACCGAATGGCTTGGTTGGAGCCTTGCTTAAGGACTGTGGCAGTGAGACCCTGGTATGTCCCTCTTATTCCTGTAAGGCATGATAAGTAGGTACATTTATTATGCTCTTATATTTAATAAAAAATCATCATGTCTGGGTGCAACATGTTTTAATAACATTATGTTTGCAGCTGCATTACCCAGTCTGACCACGAGATGGCAGGTGAGCTACATGCATTGAAGCTGGTGTTTACCTTGGGCATTGATGATCTCCCTGACTCCATGGTAGAAGCCCTTGTATTTTGGGTTGGCTGATGTCTGGTCATGAATGAATTTAACCTTCAGAGATTCAAAAAAACAAAAAACAAGGTCAACCAAAACATGAAATATTGCTTTGCTTTTTTTCACACACACAAGGTGATAAAAACGGAACAAATGTTTAGTCTGGTCTTCTTTCAAAGTCACTTTTAAATGATACTGTCAATGTGCACGGACAGACACAATGCTTATCAAACAATTCTACTGAGATTATAATAAACTGAGAAGAGTGTTATCACATGTGTCTGCTGCTGAGATTTGTTATAGTAATGTAGCAGATGTTATATTTAGGAAAGTCTAAGAAAAACAGCGTGCTTTATCTGCGGATCATAAATATCTCAGATGCTAAATGAGAGTGATCATCCCATATACCAAAACAATACATTACTTCCATCTGGTCAGAGATACAGAACAATTAAATGGAGAAAAGCTTCCCGCCGGAGTTTTGTTCCTTCTGAAATAGCAGATTAGCCTTGCTGACACTGTTGTCAAGAGGAACATTGAATTAATGTACACAATAAGATAATGCATACTGTCTTTATCTGCATGATGCCACGTCTATATCCATCTGTTGCTATCTGTCTGTTGTTAAACATACTGTATATCTGTGTGTTTCTGTGTAGTGGCTGTGGAATCAAGTATCCCTCTGGGACAATAAATCAGGTGGTAACATACCTTAACAGTTTCCATGGGACACACCACGAAAACAGCCTCCAAGATGCCGGCTCCGAGCCCACACAGCAGGCCCTTGGTGCTGTCCAGGCGACCGTTCTCATCCCTCGCACGGTTGCTGAGGAACTCAAACACCCCGAACCTGAAGGGACAGAACAGAGACAGTAGGGAATTATGGGACACGTTAACACAGGATTGATGTAAGGCAAGAAACACATATATATACATATATATATATTTGGGATTATTGCCGCTTTAAAAACCCAAGATCACAGTGTATGTAAAGATGATCAAGTAAAAGGCTTGAGTACATTTGTAAAAGAAAACATACAGATGAGAGTACTGCAAAATAGCAGAATATACTTGTGGTACTATGGAATGTGAAAAAGGACACAGTAGATAATTATCCTGCACAACGTCAGCAGGATAATTATCTTTTTTCTGGAAGTACATGAGGATGTTTCCACTCATACATTTATTAATACATTATAACCACAGGGCAACAAACACCTCAGAAAAAAAACTGCTCTCATTTCAGAATATGATGTCAGCTTTTAGTTTATTGTCCTTAGTTTACTGGGCACTAATTAATGATGCACCAATAAAATGGTGTCTCAGTAACCGGAGAGTGACCAGCAACAGCTGCCATGGAGTCCAGCCCAGAGAGAGCGACAGAGACACAGGTGTGTTTTATGTATCTCTGCAATCAGAAAATGTTGTGCCAGTAAGTCCTGTGCAAGAAATGCTATTTATAGAAGGAATTCAATTGTAGAGAAAGATGGATGCTGTCCGGTACATTTAGCAAAAGGGCGGGGGAGGACAGATACTTGGCCTTGATGAATGCTTTGTTTTCCCCTCTGACGTTTCTTAGTCTGCTTTAACCATCTACCTGCCGCCATCACAGGACTCATCTCCTCTACCCGTCTCAGTGCCTTTCTTCCCATCTGCTTTTTTAGTTGAACATTTTCCTCTGCTCATTAACTTTCCACATCTGTTCCTCTGTCTCACTCCTTGCACACATTCAGTCCTGAAAGACTACACAATTAACTGATTCCTACTGTTGAACCGAAACAAACAACACATGAAAATAAATCCATCCTCCGCTCTCTTATGCACACCGCTTGCTCGTTACAAATAGTGTTTTGGCTTTGGAGAGAATAAAAAATGAAAGATTGTACTTAGGCTGCACCGAGATGGCGGTGCACTTAATGCCTAACCTTGTGAAACAAATGCTATTGGTTAAAAGCGGCTGGAGAGAAATATGCCACTGTCAGGCCTGGTCCTGTGCCAATTTACTCCCTGAATACTCCTCTCCCCATTTAACAAGTGGACTAAACTTCAGCGTTCAAATGTGACACATTGCGTTTTGGCCGACATTCACAGTCGGAGATGAGTCATTCTGGACAGTGCTGCCAAATCTTCATTAGTGGGTCTTTCTACAAGGTCAGTTGTGCTGATTACAAGAGGAGGTGAATAAGAGAGAGAAAAGGGCCATCTGGAGACTGTAAAGGAAAGAAAGAAAGGAAGCTGGGCAGACAAGGGCGAGATGTAAATATGGATGAAGGGTTAAGGGGAGGAAAAGGTCAAAGGCTCTCTTGTCTGTCCCTCTGATAGCTCAAGCAGGCGGTGTGACGCATGATGGTGCACAGGCAATCAGTTAATGGGATAGGGGAGAAAGAGGGTTGAGGAGGAAAGGAGCGATATACAGGGGGAGGGGAAGGATGCTAGAGGAAGTAAGAAGAGAACAGATCGACCAAGCGACTCAGGAGAAGTGATGTTCAATGAAAGTGCCACGGTATTCTCAATAAATCTAAATCGAACTGCTTCCAACGGCTTTAAATCTCCCCGTCATGTTCCATGTTTTTAATCAGTTTTTCATGTTTTGCTGTAAATAAACTAAAGGGAAGGCAAATTTATTTATATAGCACCTAATCGTACACAAGTGCTCTACAGGCACAGGATAGTAAATATAGAAGTATAAAATATTGTAAACCATTCAAAAGGAAGCTGATGCCAGCAGTAGGCAGCATAATGGAGATCGGTACACTCAAAGTAATTGCATAAGATATTTAACACAATAATAAAACTGAAAAGAAGAACTTGCAAACAACAGGTTATATATTTTATATATCTCATATGCAGAACCAGGAAATATTCTAAATCTCTCTGCTACTCGATGCCCAACACACACACACACACACACACACACACACACACACACACACACACACACACACACACAAGTCTCTATCTCAGTTCCCCTATTGAGACCCAGCCTGTTTTTGAGTGGCATCATCGCTCCGCCTGGCTGGACCTGTCTGCTTGATGGACAGGCAGGTCCAGCAGGGCTACTCCCATGACACATACACACACATGCACACACACAAACAATCACAAGAAAGAAAGAAAGACAGAGAAGGAGCGAAAGAATGAAACGGGGAAAAAAGACTCAGACACAGCAGCTTTGTCTGAAGATAAATGTCATTGCTGTAAAAGAATAATGTAATTATACTGAAGGCTAGTGTGGCATTTATGCCTTGCATTGTGGGTAATGGAGCAGAATAATTGGAACGTGTGAGTAGGCCTACTGTAAGTGTTACCAGGTAAAAGATCACAACAGCTCAGCTAAACGTGCTCGTTTTATTCCAGCCTTTACTGCACACATTTATTATAACATATATACTATATATGATATTTAAAAAAAACTCAGAAAATGTAAAGTGCTGTAATATCACATGTAACAGTGTTCAATTATTATTTGTATATGGATTTTACATTTTGAGCTACTTTACATACTGTAGGTAGAAATGTATGTTGCAAATTTAATTTAGCAAATATATATTTCTTGTGAATGTTCTTACAGTAAACATTTCAGTTATTTGACTCACCTGACAGCAGATTTGGGTATGGATCCATACACCAGTGAGCTGAGTCCTCTGTACAGCCCTTTAACTCCGTGACCCTGTACCGTCTGTTTCACACAGTCCCCTGCAGGAAGAAAATGTTTATTTTGATGTTTTTAATTAAATAGTTTATTATCTTGTTTTTTATTGATTGTGTCTTTGGTATGGAACGAGCCTTACACCAAAAGAGGAACATCTGTCCTAGCTAATCCAGAGGCTGTTTTCCCCAAATCTTTTTTTTAATTTTTTTTTAATCTATGGCTTACTCTTGGAGATGTCTCGAAGTCCAGTTATCAAAGTTCTGCTAGTTAGCCAAGTGCACGACTGAGCAGAGACGCAACAGCTGTCTCGAGCACTCATTAGCATGGTCTCCTATCCTCAGCGAGTCAGCCAATATAACACTTCCTGTGTGTGTGTGTGTGTGTGTGTGTGTGTGTGTGTGTGTGTGTGTGTGTGTGTGTGTGTGTGTGTGTGTGTGTGTGTGTGTGTGTGTGTGTGTGTGTGTGTGTGTGTGTGTGTGTGTGTGTGTGTGTGTGTGTGTGTGTGTGTGTGTGTGTGTGTGTATTAATGGTGGGTGTGCAACGGTCTGTTCTAAGTCATATAAACAAGCGACAGCCTGCCAGAATCCCTAATGTACCTGGGGATGGTGGGTAATTATATAATGAGCTCCTGAGAGAACCACAGAGACACGATGAAGTACAGAATATACTGTAGATAGATAGATAGATAGATAGATAGATAGATAGATAGATAGATAGATAGATAGATAGATAGATAGATAGATAGATAGATAGATAGATAGATAGATAGATGCTTTTTGGTTTCTCTTAAAATTCATGTAAAATGTCAGAACCGAAACTGCAGAAACATTGTCATTAACATACAAAAAGCTCACCTATTCCTCTGTATTTGGGTGGATTGGCCCTCTCATCCAGCTGTAACTGGGTCTTGACATACTCTGTTGGGAAGGTGATGCAGATCTCTATTCCACCTGCAAGGCCCCCTGAAAAACACAGAGAATCATTGTTTGTTAATATATGGAGCACAAAGAATTGGTATAAATTAACTTTAATGTGAACAAAAAACCAATGCCCAAGCAGGAAAAGGAAGCTTTGTTGACATATTGCCTAAACCTATCATACCATGCCTGCCTGGCTGCAGCCTAAGAAAGCCTGATTCAGTTCCCCATCCCCTTTATGAATTGCAGGGATGTGCCATTACGTTATGGATCATTACAGAGACTCCACAAATGGCTTTCCCTCCATAAACATTAAAAGCGCCTCAGCTGATGGAGGAAGAGTAACGAGTAGAGCAAAGATAAATCAACTGTTCCTACCACGGCTAAACTACACAGCGCCTGTGCTGTTTGAGAGGAGAGGAAAGGGTTGTGTGAGACAATTTATCTGCCTCTCAAATTATCTATCTAGATTGAAAATACACTAAAAGAAAGAAATCAGAAGTGAATGAATAAGCGTCTGTAAGAGTTCAGCCTGAAACCAGCACAGAGGATGAGTTGAGTGGATGAGGACAAGTGTCCAAACGCGAGGCCGAATCACAACACGATGAGTCACGAGGCAGGGAGGGAGGATGGAAAGAGGGCTGACATTAATTTAATTATCTGCTCAGGCTGCAGGGAGGGGCTCCATTACCCAGGCCAAGACCCTCCATTGACTCAATGACACATGAAACCAAGCACTGGGCAAGGGATACACACAGACGTCGGGTGGTTACACACAGACATAAAGACAGGCCCCCCCAAAAAATAAAAAAACATTATGAGGAAAATGTTACTGTACATAATGTGTATTTGTGTTAGTCAGAACACGAGACATTCAAAAACCCATGAATGGTCACAAACTGAAATGCCTTTTCTGTCCCATGGACAATCTAAATCTGGCACAAAGAGAAGTGGCTTCAACAGGAAGTGGTTGTCTATCTGTTTTTGGGAAATACCAGTTGAGATGTTTTATGAAGAAAAGAATAGTAGCTCAGATGCTTTTAAAAGACTTCCCAGTCAAGAGTTCCCATTTGATTACAAACAATACCCTAAAAAAAAGCCTCTTCATGAAGAATATTAAAGTGATAAAGTGATCCTTCCAACTATTTTCATGGCATATGTTTTTGTTTGGAAAATCCAGATACACTGGGGCATTCATATGCTGCTTTCCTCCAACTCTCTGTGGGGAATTTAATGTCTCTTGTGTTACTACAGTATGACTCAGAGCTTGAACCAGTCGTTTTGTCGATAATTGAGTCCTAAAATCCTATTTCTTTAAACAGGAGAATAACATAAATTCACGTAAAATCAACAAGTTTCAAAACATTTTTTAAATGTAATTATCCATCTTATCTTGTTTCTTGTTTGGAGTTATGAGATCACTCAAAACGTTTCTCATACTAAGACTACTGGCAGAAATGTTCTTTGTTTTAAGAAAATTAAGTCTTACAAATCTGTTAGTGAGGCAGTGTTCTTTCTTACAGTTTAAACATGCATGTGAGCGATTTAGCTCTGCAGTTTTGCACTCGTCACTGTTGTCAACACAACCTTTATCCCTGTGACACCTCAAAGCCAAGTCTCCACTTAAGATAAAAACATATATTTAACCCAGGACACACACTAAAGGACTATAAGTAGATGGCAGTGTAATTCAAATGAAATACCCAAAGTTTCTATGCACACAGTCGTGGCCTTTTGCATAAGCGACGTCTCAGTTTGCTCAAGCCTTAAAAGCATCTGACTCACCGTGTTCTCTTTGTCTGCACCCCCCTTTTCTGTGGGAACGACTGATTTAATAAAGGAAATCAATAAGGAAAATGGCTTTTACTTAAGGCTGCACACTTATCTAACATAACCATTAAGCGTAATTTATCTCAATGTGATCTTATTCTCAAATTCTAATATTGAAATTGTGTGATTCAACTATTAGTTAAAATCCACACCAAAATGTTTTAAAGCATGACATCCCTAAATGATACAAAACTGAGCACCACTAAGCAGAATCATGACACACACACACACACACACACACACACACACACACACACACACACACACACACACACACACACACACACACACACACACACACACACTTTAATCACAGAGCACAGGACTAGAAGACAGAAACCTGATTTAAACCTGACTAGGACAACATGAGACCTGAAGTCATTTGTTTGGCGTGGAGGACGAAGTGTGTGTGTGTGTGTGTGTGTGTGGTGTGTGTGTGCGTACCTGTGCAGCAGCAAGGTTCTCTGCGTCCTCCTTCCTGCTGGTGGCGGGGAAGAACACGATGTTGTCGATGGTCTGGATCAGCTCCAGCTGAACCACACATTTTATCAGCAGAGAGGAGAAGAGGCGCTGCTCCTGGAGCTCTGAGGAGAGAACACACACACTAACAGTGAGGATACACACACACACACACACACACACACACACACACACACACACACACACACACACACACACACACACACACACACACACACACACACACACACACACTTACTGATGGGCGTGTTTCCGTACTGGCTCTGTCGGCGTGTTTCCATGGCGACCCGCTCGGTGCTGCTGACTGAGTTTTGGTCGTCTGAGCGGCTCTGGATGTCCAATGACTTCTGGGAAACGGAGTCCTAATTATCAAAGGGGGCGGAGTTACTACTGTGTACAACATCAACAACAAACAACAACTAGATGCATGCAATAGATAGGTATATCATGTAGGTTTCCTCACCAGCTGTTTGTCTGTCTGCTCTCCCTCTGCAGGGCTCCATGTTAACAGCCTGGGAAACAAACACATGACCTGAGTCTAGTTTCCTTTAGTTCAGATCTAAATACAAACGCTCGACTAGTTCTCTTCATATCTCTCGTCTTTGTGCTGCAGATCTTACGCGTGAGGGATGGTGGTCTTGAAGATGTCCAGCATGCAGGTGCAGGTTTTGTCCCAGGTCTCCAGAGTGAACTTCTCTCCGTTCAGGATCACAACGTTCTCCAGACAGTTGGTGCCGGAGCGAGCCAGCTGCTCGTTATCTGATGAAGACATCATGAAGAAGAGGAGGATCAAATAGAATAACATTTGACAATAATAATATTTCATATTTTAAATCCCCAAAATATAAACTAGAAGAAATGCATTTGTGTTTTTGAAGTAAAAGTAGATGTTTTTAACTAACTTAGTTTCCTACATTATATGTTCTAGCCTCGTTGTCCTTCTCTCCTGCCACAGTTTGAGTATTGAGATTATATTTTAATAATCCTCCCAGCTGCTCCTTATCTGGTGAAGACGCCATGAAGACGTTTCTGCCCTTTCTCTGCAGAAAAGGATCACGTGTGTTCAGATGGTTTTCTAATGGAGTGTCTCACCTGGCTGTGTGTGNCTCCTGGGGGACAATCCCCCCAGACCCCCCTTATGGGGTTAGGTTTTCAGCACGTGTGCCTTTTTATGTTATACAGTTCAGCTTTGATTCCATCATCTCATTAAACCTTATTTAAAAGAATTGTTTTGTTCTGTGAAGGGATATAAGGGATATATGCACTGTACTTCACTTTAATTAATATTGTATACTGCAAAGCGTATATTACTGCAGGATCTTTTGTTGAATAGATTTGAGTGGTTCAAAATTTCGGGTCGCGATCTATTGACTAAGGAAAAAGTGGGTCCTGAGGCCTGACCAGTTGAGAACCACTGGTATAGAAGGTAACACTGTGCATGGACAGTGATTTTATAGTTCTACCAACACTACAGATGTGAAAATTACGCCTGTATTTGAAAATTACACATACTAATTACGTACACGATATTAAAAATCTGCTATAAAATCTTCTTTCTAATGGATGACAACATGAATATAAGTGAGCTACTGAGGTTGGGTGAGAAGGCTCCCTGTGAGCGTTCACGTTTCACCCAAAGATGTGTGAAGGTGTTAAGGTTGGGGTTCTAATGACGTTCTTTCATACCAAATTTGAAAATCCATTGCATTATGGACCTGGCATTTTGCACTAGAGTCACGTTAAAAACAGGATGGACGAAAAGTCAGGGGATCGTCAAAGTCATTGAGGTTTATCCTCTGGTCACTATGGACATTTTTAATTACTTTTAGAGCAATCCATCTAATGATTGTTGAGAAATTTCAATAAAAAATAAAGAAAACGTCAACCTGCTAGCGACACTTGAGGTTTACAAGACCATCCTCTGGGGACCACAAATCTCTATATCACTACAATCCATCCAACAACTTATACTTCGTTATATATGTGTAGGTGTAAACACATTTCCACAAATCTACTGATGCATGCTGCACACACAGACACAACTTCAGAGCCACTTTTCTCACCGTAAAGAGAGACACAGAGGCCGCCAGCTGACAGGGAAGAACTGTCTCTGAAATCTTGTCCTGCCTGCTGTGGTGACTCTAATGAGCATCCAACACATCTGGTCCACAAAAAAAACAACATTCATTTTTGGATCAGCTGACTATCTAGCATGGTGTCTGGATGTGGCAGGTTCTAAAATGTGTATTTTATTTTCCTTAAGATAAATATTTTTAAAGCAGTGTTGCAAAAAACTGAAATGTAAGATGTATTGGTACCACTTTACAATAAGACTACCCTTATAAAGGATTCATAAAGGATTTATAATTAGTTTATGAATTAGGTTGTAAACACTTTATTAATCATTAAGAACCATTTATAAACCAGTTCTAACATAGTTTTCATCAACACATTCTCACTATTTGGCAAGATGACTAAGCCTTATATTGGCTACTTAGCGACAATCAACTCAGTGAGCAACAGATACCAAGGATGCTGGCTGATGAAGAAGACAAAGTAAGCTAAGTAGCCAATATAATACTTAGCAGTGCAGATAAATGTGGGCTCACTATTTGGCAAGCAACCGGTCACAGTTGCCCTGTTTATCTCATGTCTTATAAAAGCACATTACATTACATGACACTTGTCAGATGCTTTTATCCAAAGCGACTTACATACATTCAGTACAGTGGACAATCCCCACAGGAGCAATTTGAGGTGAAGTCTCTTGCCCAGGGACGCAACGACATGCTGACTGCAGTGGGACTCGAATTTGCTACCCCCTAATTCGAAGTCCAGCACACTGAGCCACAGCCTCCCTATCCTTATGAATGACTTATAAAGTGTTCATAACCTAATTGATAAATGAATTACAAACTATTCGTAAACCTTTTATAAGGGTAGTCTTATTGTAAAGTGGTACCGATATTTTTTTAAGTGACTCCATGTCCGGCTAAGACAAACTCATTCCAACAGTCAAGTGTGTAACTACTGTACGTGTGTTTTTTGGTGTATGTACCAGCAGATTCATAAGCAGTTTTCCAGCATAATCAATTTATTATTCATCCAGATGTTCCTTATTTAGATTCCTTTAAATTCTCTGGAGTCAGGGGGAAGATGTTATTAAGTCTATATCTCCAGTCCAAACAGAGAACATAGCCAGAGGACTGATGTACTTCAAACATGAGGTGTCCTAATAAGAGAACCGTCATATTCCTGTTTGCCCAGAGCAAAACATGAAAAGAATTATTCATCTGACGCCTGGCCTTTAAGCCTTCCTCTGTCCCGCTCAACACTCCCTAATGCTTCACTGATGTTTAATTACTGGGAGGATGCTGATTAATTTTACATAGGAACTATTTTAACTGCAGCATGCAGATTGTTTGCTGATTTACATGAACGGGACAACTGCCCATAGGTTGATTTGACACTGTGTACAGTAGTAGACAAAGCTGCAAGGCTCTTACCAGATAAAGAATAAAAACGTTTGGCTTTCCATGCTTTACATCACTGATTCATAACTGTTTTTTTGTCAAAACTCTCTAAAAATCTTCAATATAACTCAGTAGGAAGCAGATAGAGAACAACACTTTGAGGCCTTTAAAAGATTGTTGTTGGGCGACCATCTTTCAACTCTACGACGTGTTTCACTAAGGTAATTACTTTAAAATGAATGACCCTGCTGTGATTATATAACTTTGACAAATTATAGCAAATACCTGACAACCCTGATTAATTATATCAAACAAGCCCAGTTTCTCTACACAATAGTGACATCAATTAAAACCAGTGGCTAATTGAAAGAGAAAATATATATAGAAACCATCAGTCTGTTGTTGAAAATGATAAGGCAAGCATCTAAAAGCATATGTGTAGTGCGGAAATGAAGCAAGCAATTAAGAAACTAATAATGTATTATTAAGTCGGCAGTCATATGGGTCTAACATATTTAAAATTACTGTGCTGATTTCTGCACAGCTATTTGTTTGTGTGGATGCATAACACCAATATGTAGCTGACAGGCGGGGGGAGGTGTTAAAGGGGTGCACTGTAATTTATCATCTAGCAACTCCTGGTACTCAGGGTGTGCAGGCATCAGCACAGGGGAGGGGAGGAGACTGTGTACGTCACCGAGGCAACATGGAGTAAGCGCACAATTTGACAAGCCCTCTGAGCCTGAGAGGAGACAGCCACTCAGAGAATTTAACAGGCTGCCCTGAGGCCAGAGAGAGAGACGGAAAGAGAGCAGGAAAAGTGACATAAAAACACACTTTTCTCAGTGGAGAATCAAATCTATCCTGTTATCAAGATAATAATGAAAATACTTTCCCTCTCCGTCTATCCCTCTGCTTTCTAGGCTCTTCTCAGAGGGGTAATAAATGAATGCGACAATAGAACAGTGTATGAATGCACAGCAGACAGTGAATCAGGACCAGGGACCCATTTAGAGCGCTCTCTCTCCCTAAGGCTTCACACAGATAAAGCTCTCACTACTTCCGTGTCTGATCTTCAGTCATCACCACTGACTGTTGAGGGAAGACTTGAACTAGCCGAGAGCTCACAGACCTCTAAAAGCTTTGGAAATGTGCACCCATCCTCCCCAACCACTGTCTATGTGGGATCTTTAATCCATTAGGCTTTGACCTTCTACTTCTTGCTTTGTCTACACAGAGCCTTTGGGCATGTGCGTAAGGCTGGCTATCAGCACACAGCCATACTGCTAAACATGACAGATACATTTTAAGTGGCATTAGCATGTCACAACACTGTGAGACATGTCAATTGGATTTATGCACTGCTACAGATAGGTGAGGAGATTTGGTATCGAGACAATGTAAACAATCAGCTGAGCTTTTTGATAGACGACATCTCAGGGCAGATTCCAAAAGAGAGTTAATCTACTGCTGAGTCATGCCAATAATGTACTATCATTAAACTACTACTGACACACACTGTCATTTCCAAAATCTTTGGAAGACAGTGATAAATCAATGCTTTCTTGATCAGGAGGAGTCAGAGGGTGCACAGTGTTGAGACAGAGTGAATGAAGTCATGCCGCTGTTGCAAAACTGGACAGACAGGCTGAAGACGAGCTGAACGACACCGGGAGCAACACTGGGCCATTTCCAGTCAATCAGGCTCCACGGGGCTGAGGGGGGAGGGGAAAGGTCTCTCCACGGCCACATTTCCATTCCTCGGTGGCTGACAGGACGAAACGAGTAGGGACTGTAGAGGGACTTTTTTCTCTTCGTCTCTACCATGTAACACATAACTAATGTATGCAACAGTTGTTTTTATATGTTTTAATCCTCTTTGAATCTCTTTGGATACACCTTGTTGACAGGGCAGATTGGTGCTTACAGTAACGAGTTCCAAAATACATTAGAGCATAATCTTTATTTTGAATTAAAGTACCATATCAATAGGAAGGTATAAAGCATATGTGGACATAGGGTTTGATGGTAATGTAGACGGTCTCTAATGTCAAATGTATTTGTTATTCTTTATTTGTTGTCATTGTGTATGATGTGTATATGTTTCTTGTGTGTCCCATTGTGTTAACATGAATCTAAATCTATATTGAATCGGGCATTGCAAATGTTTCCCATTTACAGCAGCTGACAGAGCAGCGTGTATGTTACTGTTAACATATGACTACACAGTAACAGCAGAAAACTAAAATAACTGTAAGTTGCAGCTTTAAATTGTTTTTTCAATCTTCAATCAAAAGTAATTAATTCAAAACAATAAAATATTCAGGATGTATGTGGTGCCAGAAAACAAGACTGAAATCAACAGAGTGCAGCCAAATATCAGCATGTGACCTTAATACAGCAGCATCTCTGTGAAGCGCTTCATCAACGGATCTGCTGCACCCGATCATCAACACAAGGGGGAGGGGGGGTAGAGCAGCAGGACAGGAGAGTCTGAACCTCAGCGGGGATAAACTGATGAATCACAGGTATGGCTAAAACAAGCATCAGCTGAAGTGGTGCTAAACCAAAAAGTCAATTCATAGATTTGTTAAAATGTTCCACTTAATATTAGTTGAATGTGCAGCTTCACTTCATAGATTGTTTTAATATTCTGTTTCATATTATATACAATAATAAATTATGTGTTGTTTTTTTTTAAGCTGTCAAGCCAAGAAAGTCTGGTCACTCTCTGGTTACGTCATATCAATATTTCTGGACATTTTATTGACTATAGAGTTAACCCATTATATTCTATTTAAATGATTGTTGTGAGGAAAATATTGTTTTTCCAGTTGCAGAATTGTCTGGTAATAACCATAGACTGTATAGAGACTACAGCACATCATTTATATTTGAGAAAGTAATCCAACTACGTCTATTCATTAGCTGCTCAGGGACTTTTAGATCTTATATAACATTATGTACACCAGAAAAATGGATTGCGATCAGTTATGGTAAAGATTAATTTGGTTGATGTCTCTAAGAAAAGGTATATTTTAATGTACAATTCCAGGAAAATTCTGAAAATCATATGATCAAGAGAAATGCTTAACATTAAAGGTCTGTCCTCTCGCTCACCTTCATACATGAGACATTGTTTAAATGGCTAGTGCTTGTCTCAGGAGAAAGTGTCCCCTACACTGCTGCGTGCATCAAACCACTCTAATACCATTACGTAAAGTGCACTGGAGGTGATCTGTAGATTAGATGGATACAATCACATCAGTGCTGCAGGTAAGATCTGCCTCTGGCACTGTCAGTAAGAAAACTCTTGTTTTTCTTGGGGAAATAAACTCTTACAAATTTTTTTTTTTCTTTTACAACTGCTTCAAGGGTCAGGGGGTCAGAATCAGAAATTGGTGGAAGATCTATAACACTGTTAAAATACCTCGTTTTACAGCTCATCGTTTGTCTTGAGAAACATGTTTTGCAGCTCTCACATACTTCCTCTGTGCAGCTCCACTAACTAAAGTGAAACGTGTCATTAAGGAAGAGAAACGCCCTGGATGTGATCCGTGCAGCCAAACAGACTCGAGATAAAACGAAATGGAAAAAAAACGTCTGCACAGTCGTAACAAATAACTAACATCTCGTTTATAATTTAGAAATGAAAACCTGTTTGTGCAAAATAACAAAAACATGGTTGACCTTACATGACTTTCTTTGGGTGTGACTACATGAAGTTAAATCAGTGTTTAAATGGTTACATGTTTTGCCTTCATAGATATTTCCAGTATGCATTATTGTTGCAACATAATTTCACAGATTATGACTATATTTAACAATAATTACAATAAAGTTATAATCACCCAGCATTTTAACCAGTGACATTTTGTCAAACGCTGACTTTTCCGCTTGACAATTAATTAACTTACCTGCCAGGATGGCTTTCCCCGGGTGGGTCAGTTTAGCTTTCCCCGCCGGAGCCGCGGCCGCCAGACACCGGGGTCTGGGGAAAGGGCTGATAAATGTGCCTCTACCCTGCATGATGACGGTAAAATGAACAGTAATATCTAGAAATCTAGTCTTGTGATGTTTTCTTCTATTAGGTAGCTTGCAGTTTGTTTTCCCAAGTAGGCTGGAGCGCGCAACACATGGACGGATGCTGTCTGATGCGCTTCTGATACCGGTGACGCGCGGAGCTTCCAGCTGATCTGCTGACAGTGGGCGGAACCCGGGACTATCAAGGAAGTTGGGATCTTCTATAGCCAATATCTGCGATGTGTGGCCATGGTAACTAACGCTGTATCACGACTGAAGCGCGTAGGGGAGAGCAAAGCAACCCGGAAGCAAGGAGGCGCGGCCGGAGCAGTTTCTCCGTATCTGCCGCGTGTACAAAAGTGAATTTCAACAAGCCTGTAGTGCGACTGACAGGGGTCAGGGGGTGAGAGGAAGCTGGCCACCTTTATTCCACAACAGAAAAAGGGCGGGGCGCAGCCTCTCAGGATTTGCATTACCATTTAAATGCAGCTCAGAGAGGGAGAATAAAATCGGTTTCCCCTGTTATTACATATTTTACTACCAAAACCTTCTGTGTTTTCCCAACAGCAGCCAGTATTAGGTCGAGACAGCCCGGCTACACCCCCTCCGAACAAAGAGACACAGAAACCATCAATCGGGTCTTGGCAGCTTGGTAACCAAAATGTCAGTGTAGCAAGGGATGGAAAAAGGGTACAGCAAAAGAAACCATGGCATAAATGTTCCCAGCTGTTCACACCTCCAGAAACACAAAGCATAGACATTGAAACCAACAGAGAGCTTGTTAATATTTCCTAAGATGTGAAGGAATTTAAAAAAAAATGCACCAACACTACTGTGTGTAAACTTTATTCCTCTTTCTGTATGCTCGACTTGTGCAGATAAAGGGAGTCAGTCGTGTGCAGCTTTTGCTTTGACAAATCCAAAGTTTTCACCACGGAGGGACAGACCTCAGTGTATCATAAGGAACTGTCGGAAAGCAGTCGAAGTAAACAATCAACTAAACTTTTACTTTGAGCAGCCTTGCCTCAAGACTTTGCCATTTATTAACCTGCTGTTTTTGCATTTTGTCATTTTCTTACAAAAATCATTATACTTTTTGAGACTACAACAACACACTATAGACAATACATACGGTATTCCATAATATCTGACTTCTTTGATTAGTTAGGTATTTCAATATAGCTTAAATTATACAGTTTTCAGTACAATAATGATTATTTTTGTGAACCAACTGGCACCAGGATGTGAGCTAATGATCCAGCGTTTTCATTTACTCGAGTCTGTAGGAGCTTCATCACCGTTTTCTGTTAGTCGGGTGAGAAAGTTTCATATAACGTCACACACAACATTAGTAATACTTGATATATGCAACATGAAAATTGTGCTCCTGGTTGCAGCATTATAGTTTGGCAGCACATGCACAGACTACAGCATAAAGCATTTTTTTATTATTATTTCACCTTCTTTCTTTCTTTCCTCTTTCTTATTGTCACAAGCATACTGGAAGTCCAGATGTCCGCAGTCCAAAAAGTCGATGGACGCAATCAACAGCTCTGAAAGGTTTGCAGGTGATGGACATTTCATTGAGTGTCTCTTGGTTTGTTGACGTATCCCTCAAAAGCTTTAGAGGCTACATACACACTCACACACACACATCCACAGACAGTACCATAACCTCAAACAAGTGTTCTCAGTCCATATACAGCAAACACTTGTGTAACTGTTGTGAGAAGACAAACAAAACTATTGCACAGTAACCATCTGTCTAACCAGAGCATGAGACAGTTTTGAAATTTAACATGAACAAATGAGCCAGTTTTTTTGCCGCCTCCTCAAAGTAAATAAGGCCGTAGCAGTGCTTTAGAAGGGACCAGGGAGACACACCCAAGCCCCCTCCTCTCCTCGGTAACAAGTCTCTTCCTCATCAGTGCTGAATCTTTTTGAAAATAAAGTAGCTCTATTGTTAATAAAGTCTATATGGAACAGCAAAAGGTCAGGGTGGTTTAGTGTGACTTGTATTTTCTTCGGTGTGTTAATTCCTCTAGAAGCTGAGAGGTGACTTCATGCTGTGTAGATCAGGGATGCAATTATACTGTCCATGTGGAAAAAAGAAAGGGGGGGAGGGTACAGCAATCTTGTAAGAGCGGGTCGTTCTGCAGTATGTGTGGAGAAGTAGAGATGATGGATTTATATTGCAGTTTCAGTCTCATTGGGAATGAAGGACCAGGTCAGTTTCAGGGGTCTCCGTGCCGCCAATTGAGACCCAGAGCAGCACGGTTCAGTGTGGTTTAGGTCCAAGGTGTGTGAGTATGTGCAGGTGAGAGGGGTGGACGAGGCGGGGTCAAGCCTCTACATGTTGTAGCCGTAGGCAGGCTGAGCAGGGAAGCCCGCCGTGGCAGCTGGATAACCGTAGCCTGGGTACGGCGGCTGGGCAGCCACCGGAGCAGGAGAGGCAGGCAACATCAGCTGCTGGCCTGATCAAACACACACACACACACACACACACACACACACACACACACACACACACACACACACACACACACACACACACACACACAGACAAGATCTCAACTTTTGGACAAGTGTATGCATGTTGCTTTAGATGTCATTTGTCAAAGACTTTTTTAGTAATTTTGTTACCAATACTGATGTCTTTGTCATTAGGTTTTTCTTTGTTTGTAACATGGCCATTATGTGGAAAATAATCCCAAAAATTATGATTTACTAACAAATCGATTTTTGGGCACAAGTCATGCCCTTGTCCTGATTTTCCCAGATGATGTGCTTAAATTGTTTTCATGAAGAAAAATATCATTGGATAAAAGCCCATACTGAATTTGCTGATGGTTTAAATACAAACAGGTGTCTTTGTTTGTTATCAGTAAACTTGCCTAGGGAACATTTCAAATGAAATAATTTGAATAATTTTGTTTTCTTTTGGGAGTAAACTAATTTAGCAAAAGATTGTTTAGTTAAATGACAGATCTCCTCTGTCTGTCTGGTTTTAATTAAATGTGCACAAAATGGTCAAAGTTTGACAACAACAACGATAACGTTTTTGGCTATGTGCTTAAAGTTTCAGTTCCTTCATCTTCATCCAATCAGTATATGTTTGGGTAGTGTTACATTTCAAATCCAACTTCCATTTTCCACCAAGTCTTTTACAGACAGTTGGGCTTATTCCAAAAAAAAACTGCAGGCCATTTTCTCCTATTTAGAAATCTCAACCCTCTGGTTAACTTACCGAACACTATGGGCTGAGGCTCTGTCACCTCCTCTTCAGTTTTCCTTTGGCTGTCTGCCTCCTCCAGTTCGTCCACCTGGCAAAAAAAGAGGATAGCTCAGACAAGTATAACTCATAAGACAGTCTGATTTAATATATTAAAAGGTATCCTACAGAAACCTTGTGACCCCATGTACTTTGCTTTGCAGTCTGTAAACTAAATACAAATGTCAGATTATATCCCCTGTCCTATTGGTAGCATGAGAGAAAACAATGCCAGCTTTCAATAAAAAAAAATAATATTTATAATAATGTACGATGTATGATCACAGTGTGCCTGTTGTTTTTACAAGAATATATTTAATGTTCCGCAATATGCCCTAAACTCTAAATGCTTCAGCAGTAAGACTAAAGTTCTCTTTCATTTAAAAAAACAAATAGTGATGAATATGTTTGTTAACACTGTAGATGTATCATATCAACTTCTAGACAAACTACACACAGAAACTCCACAGTGCAGGTTACCTGAGAGAAGATGCCATGCAGGTTTGGTGAGACATTTTAAAACAGCTTCCAGTAGAAATGTTAATTCAACAATTAAAGGGCCCGTTCACCCCAGTCACAAAAAACAAAGAACTACTTAACCCCTAGTGGTATCATACCAGGCAGATAGTGACTGCTGAGACTTAATTACTACGATCACCCTAATTCAATCAAGTGGAATAAAATGTTACTTGAAGCACTGAAAAATGTGAACTCCAAAGCAATCTCTTTTTCCAGATAGGATGTCCGTTTTTATCATAAAAAATTCACAGACTTCATTATCAACAGTCATCACTATTTTATACACTCAATTGAAAATAGTCGTTAATGAAAACAGTTTACAAGGTATGTGGGATATTATAAATAACAAGATAGATAGCAAGGACATTATATCTGGTCATTCAATGCTTTTTATTTTCCTAATTTAATTCTTTTTTTGAGCAACAAAAATTAAGCATCGGCATGTACCTTTAAAACTCAGCAAATAAAACCAAATCTACATCATGGCTTCATGGCTAGATACCCCTGGGGAAGATAGTTTTGTTTTTGTGTGTAAACTGACCCTTTAAAAGTAAAACAATAGTGGTGGGACTCAAGGTTAAAGAGATATTACATTTTGTATTAAGTAAAGGAGAAGCTATACATGCCTACAGTATGTGCTGATGCTACATTTCAGACATTCCCAGTTAACAATCACAGCTTCCACATGCATCCTGTGCGCAGGCCCTCCTGACAGAACTACATTTAGAATATGTCATTCTGCCGGATTGCTAGCTACGTGTGAGAAGCTTACAGGTTAGGCTGATCTGTGCCAGGCATCAGTGTTTGGGCAGTGACATTGTTGTAGTGCCAATAGTCCTACCCACTAAGTGCAAATCAATTATCAGGCATTTTGCTTCAACTGCTGAGGCAGCTGAATAGAACAAATATCTGTTGCAAGTTCATTTCTGTCATCATTTCGAAAGATGAGGGAAAAAACCAAAAAGGACTGAACTGGTAAAACAGCACTTGCACTGTGAATCACTTTTCTATACATTATAACAAATTATTATAAGGAGTGATAATAAATAATAATGTTTAAAACGCAGAGTTGAAATACAGTAATCAACCAATCGAAATTGATATGATTGTATCATAAAACAAAATATTATTTTGCTATGCTGCTTGTTGATTTCCAACAGTGAGACTAACAACAAAATGTTGGTACAACTTAAACTCTGTCTCCTAGTATATGATTGAAAACTTTAATGTACAAGAAGTTGGTATTTCACTTCCTGAATGGCCACTACTTAGCAAAGAAATACGTATTCTTTTCCCAGAGACAGAAAGAGGAAAGGACACTCCATAAACGTTAGTTAGTGTTTGAAGCCTTGCATTTAAATAACAGGTACATACTTTAAACCAACACTTGTTAACCAGGAGTTAGAAACATGGGGATGCATCTAACAAGTTAACAGTGGCACGCTCTCCTGATATTTCTAAAGCATTAGCCAGGAGGGGAAATCACTATGT